GTTTTCGAGTAAACCAATGAAATGTAAAAACACTGCTTTTTCGAACGTCTTATTAAGTCTTAATATCATAAATCTATATAATTTCGTAAGAAAATACCAAACTTTTAGCATCTATTAACTAAAATTATTAACATTCAACATAAAATTGATGCATTTCCATTTAATTACGCATTGACCAAAGTTTAAAAATCACCATTCAAAAAGTAAACATTTAAATCTTAAGAAAAAATAGTTATGATATCACGAATGTATACACGAAAAGTAAATATTTTGATTTTCGTTCATTTAGATTGATGCATTTCTGTTTATCCTACAGATTAAAATCAAGAAACGTTCAAAACTTTCAAAATATTTGTCAATCAATTCAAAACAAAATTTTAATTTAAAATTTTTAATAACAACCAAAAAAAAAACAAATTTCTTCGCTTGATTGAGCTTTTATTATCGGTTTCCTGGAAACGCGAAAACGATAAACAAATAAATGAATGAGTAATTTCGCAACGTTGCCTTGGATCGCTTAATTGTCGTATGTTTCCTACGTGTTTTGTTTTTTCTTTTTTTCGTCACTCGAAATCGAAAATGAATGCTTTCGAATTGGTATTCGCCACAATAAATTGACCATAAACCTGAGGATATGAGTAAGTTTTGCAAGAATCTCCAAGGCCACACAATCTTAACCAGTGTTTTTCACAGACGGTTTTAGGAAACGAATAATTTATAACTTATTTATTTATTGCAAATCATCAAAGAAAGTCATCATGTTTAATTTTTTTGTCAATTTTTGTCTTGATGTTTTCTGATTATTTTGAAGTTACTTACTTTGGACCAATCCATCCGGGTGGACAATCGCATTTTCCGGTTTTGGAGTTGCAGTTTCCTCGAAGACAAGTGCAATGGTAACGACAATACCTTCCCCATCTGGAAGGTGCGCATTCTGCAAGAATAACGATGCTAGAGAATTGGTTTAAAAATTAATGTTTACGTTTTTGTCTGTAGATGCATCACACCTATCTCGCAAAGTCCGCCTCTGAATCCCGGATCGCAGTAGCATTTATCGGATTCATCGCAAACGCCGTTCACGCATTTACAAGGAAGACGACACCTGTCTCCAGCAGGATCCAATTCGTAACCGTCGCAGCAGATGCTCACCGATCGGGTCTTCTCCACCTCCTGCATAGAAAAATCAATCATCAGAGTGCATCATATTATCTCATATCGAGTTGCAAGAGAACGTGAGGAAGTTACGCAACAAGCGAGGGTTACTTTCAATTAGCCAAGGTCGCATTTTCTCATCCGAAATGCATCGGTTTTGTACGTTCGATTTTACGTAACGCCGAATTGGATGAAAATCGAGAGCGCGCGTGTATATGTGTGTTCTGCTCCACTTAAGACGGTTCAAAAGAATGCCGTGCGGTGAATAATATTGGAAACCTTATAAGCGAACGCGCGACTTTCTACGTTGTGTCCGCACGTCTCGCGGAGGAATTATTGGAACCAGAACGGACTTCCGTATTCTCCGGTTCTGGGAATTCCGTGTTCCTTCTTACCGCAATCTCCGGGACTCTTTGCACTTCGATGCGGTACTGGGTGCATCTGGGTGGTACTTGCAAGCACCAGATGTACGTCCTGTGCGTGACGTTCTTCAGGTGGTATTGGGTAACGTTCTCCGTGTATCTGTAACGAAAAAAATTGCGTTAGTTCTTTATTTGTTTTTTTTTGTTTGCTGCATCGGAGACGTAAATCGCAGTTGCGGAATCGCGGCCTCTTTATTATCCTCATGCAGAATGAGAGGCATAAGAAATGTTATTAAAGTCGGTGTTTATTGCATCTGCAAGATTGCTTCCTTTCTCAATCAATCATTCAAAGTTCTACAAAGTTACCTCAAAAACAAACCGGAAAACACAAGTACATACAATACAAATTAATCTTTGTTATTATGCGTGTTAAATGCATATTTTATGGACAATCTTTCACTATTAATATTAGAAAAAGTAATTTATGAATCAATTTACTCATTATTTAAAAACGCATTTTTGAAAAGATTTCAATTATATATTTTTCATTTTTAAATGAAATTTTCTAAAAGTATTGAATTTTCTGAACCAATTGTTCAAAACTTTTTAAAGATATTTCTAGTTAAACTTTATAAATTTTTCATGTGATTAAGTTAATATTTAAGAAATGAAACAAAGATTTATGCGTTAAAATGTATTTTTATGAAATCATTATTGAGAATAATCTAAAATATTTGAATTGAAGATTTTCATTGATAAATCTTCTTTTGAAAGTTATATTTTTGTTGTGTTAATTTTCAGAAATATTGAAGTAATCGACTTTCTACAGATATTTCAGATCTAACTTTACATAATTTTTATTATTGATTAACAATTAACACATTTTTTTAACTATACCTAATTTTTTGCATATTTGCGAAATATTGTATTTACTAATTTTAGACAAATTTCTAATAATTAAAGCTTTTTTTTACACAATTATACAAAGTTAACTAATTTTTTTTTCTAAATTATCCAAATCTAAGTTTATATTTAAGTAATTAATCAAAAATTCATATCATAAATCTTTAGAAAGATTTGACATTAAGGAAACTTCTTTTAAATAAATTTTGATGAAATTTGCTTCAGAAGTCTTCTAAATTTCTTCAAATTTAAACTTTTTACAGATATTTCAAGTCTAACATTACATAATTTTTATTATTGATTAAAAGTTAACAGATTTCTTTTTAATTCTACCTAATTTTTGCATATTTGAGAAATGTTGTATTTACTAATTTTAGACAAATTTCTACTAATTAAAGCTTTTTTTTTACACAATTATACAAAGTTAACTTTTTTTTTCTAAATTATCCAAATCTAAGTTTATATTTACCTAATTAATCAAAAATTCATATCATCAGGAAACTTCTTTCATCTAAATTTTGATGAGATTTGCTTCAGAACTCTTCAAAATTTCTTCAAATTTAAACTTTTTACAGATATTTCAAATTACACTTTATATATTTTTTGTATGATTCACAGCTATAACAAAACTAAGTTTTTTTTAATTATCCAAATTCAAGTTAATATTTAAGAAATTAACCAAAGATTTATACCATAAAAAGCAAATAATCCAATATAAATTAATTCAAAATTGTATTGATAAAACTTCTATTCAAAGTTATATTTAAAATAAATCGCAAATATTGCTTCAATACATCGAAAATCGTCAAAAATTCTTCAAATTAAAAGATTTTATAGTATAGTATATAGTATAATATAACTTTACATAATTTGTATTATTGATTCACAATTCCACAAAATTATATATTTTTTTTAATTATCCAAAACACAGAAAATTCAATTCAAGAAATGATTCAAAGATTTATACCACAAAACACATTTTTTCTCTATTATTTTATTATCCAAAAATATTGGAATAAACGTCAATTTTAGAAGAATTTTGGTTAGTTTCAATAAATTTAAAGATTAAATAATTCCCAAAATAAACTAATTCAAACTAATTAAATGATTTTTATAGATGAAATTATTATAAACATATTTATTTATGGATGATATTTCAAAGAATGTTTACTAATTAAATTAACTGAAGAAATTAACAAAAATGCAATAAAAAATCGAAAGTGTAATATTCAATATTAACCTACATTCTTGAAAAAGGGGATTATTCTGACCTCAACGGAATGCAAATAGTCTACGAGAAATAAAACGAAGTAAATGAAAGAGAAAAAAACATTTTCTCTCTCAATTATTCATTCATAATTATGTACAATTTGGAGCCTCTACATTTTCCAAACTTTATATAAGCAACATCACTTTAATTTATCGATGATTTTATTGAAATTGTTTTAATTTGTTTGTAAGATTTATTTACCAAATTATTAAGTTTATTTTTATCATTAATTAAAGTCCATTAATTATATGAAATTTCGGTGATATGATATGATATGTTTTACATATTGGTAACAAACAATCAATTCAACTTATCAATCAAAATTGACGTTAAATCCATTGATTAATTTAATGAATTCATTGAATAGTTAAGTTAATTGATTGTAAAGAAATAATCAATCATTGAAATTTGATAATTTCTAATCGAAAATGATTTATCAGTAAATTAACATGTTTTTATTGAATAAAATTTACCACTCCAGATAACAAGTTTATTGTATAATGAATCAATTGGATTGAAACCAATAAATAGACTATATGTGTAGGTAGGTAGGTTGGATAAGGTTTTCTAATCCTTACTGAGAAACACGTGGAAAGGTACGGCCACTTTCGTGCAATTCCCCCACAATGTGTTTCTGTCGTATCAAGGAAGTATCTTTCATTATTATCGTGTTAGCACATTTTTATTCTTTCTGTTTCGGTTCCCATTATCAATGTGCTCTTACATCGACAATCGAAGCAGGAAGCATTTCTCTAATCTATTTTTCAGACCGTTTTTGGACCGAAATGAACATGAACATAAATACACAAAAGCAAGCACACACGCTGAAATAAAATAATTAAGCATTTCATTTTCCTCTGGACAATTACCACCGTCCCAGATACTCAATGAATAAAGCCGCACGGATCAACAAAAGAGACTTTGTAATTTGCGCGATTTCTTTTAATTAAATTCGCAAATATAGAATGAAAAGAAGAAAAAATATATATAGTCATTATTTCCGCCAAAAACGAGTTCAATTTTTTTCCCAAACTGAACAATTTCAAGATTTTCAAATTTCTTCAAATTTAAACTTTCCACAGAAGTCTAACTTTACATAATTTTTATAATTGATTAACAGTTAACACATTTTTTAATTATACCTAACTTTTTGCATATTTGCGAAATGTTGTATTTGCTAATTTTAGACAAATTTCTACTAATTAAAGATTTTTTTTACACAATTATACAAAGTTAACTTATTTGTTTTCTAAATTATCCAAATCTAAATTTATTTTTAACTAATTAATCAAAAATTCATATCATAAGGAAACTTCTTTCATCTAAATTTTGATGAGATTTGCTATAAAACTCTTCCAAATTTAAACTTTTTACTTCACAGTTATAATCCAATATAAATGAATTAAAGATTTTATTGATAAAACTTGTTTTAAAAGTTATATTTAAAAAAAAACGCAATTTTTCCTTCAATACTTAAGCAATCGTCCAAAATTCTCCAAAAGAAAACATTTTATAGTATAACTTTACATAATTTGTAATTATTGATATGTATTTATGTATTTTTTTTTTAATTATCCAAAACGCAAGTAAATATTCAAAGATTTAAACGGATCAACAAAAGAGACTTCGTAATTTGCGCGATTTCTTTTAATTAAATTCGCAAATATAGAATGAAAAGAAGAAAAAATATATTAGTCATTATTTCCGCCAAAAACGAGTCCAATTTTTTTCCCAAACTGAACAATTTCAAGATTTTCAAATTTCTTCAAATTTAAACTT